GGGACCGTTAAAACAACGCGGATGACACTGCACGAATTTCCCGTTACTCTTCGAGGTGCACGTGAACTGTTACGTGGGTAAATGCAAAACACGGCGTAGAAAATGGGATTCAGCTGAACGTGGAGCTGGCACGAACCAGCCAGTCGGTCGTCGCGTGACAAAAGATTCAGTCCATTCTCTGATAGGAGAATGCGTTTCATTTTTTCCGCGTGCATGGACATTTTTTTTGCTCGGTCTGTCGGTCTCTTCTGCTCGAACGGAGTCGAGAGAAGACCTCATCGGGGCCTTTCGGGTCAGAACGAGTCCAGCTGACGACCTGCGTCGCAACGCCGCCGTTTTGCTTTGTCTTTTCCCTTCCCGCGGCTGACCTTTATCCGACGAAAATAGAAGCGTCGTGCAGACGCGGCCAGGCGAAAGCGACACGAATGTTTGGTAACACAGCTGATCTCCATAAACAAAGCACATCTTCTTGGCCGTACCTTCGTTTATCGCGAGCTTTGTCCCGCACTCCAAATTGACCCGCGCTTATTCCTACCAGCTGCAAACTCATGAACCCTCACTCACATATTGGCCGCAATAAGGGTGGACGTTCACTAACAATTTAGACATTAGAAACGTTAAAACCGTTCCGCCAGTCGACCGTCCTGGCTCACCATCTTTACTGAATTTTCTTTTCTATTTGTGGTTCACCTGTACGCTAGTCGCTCGCCGCCTGCCGTGTGTTGACTTTTGGTACCGTTATGTGGGAACGATTGGTAACGATGATCTCTTCTTTGCCGTTGTTTCGTCGATAAGAGAAATTCGTGTAATTTATAATCTCCCTTTGTTCAGTGGATTCAAATTTTGTCTGTTGAAGTGATATTTGAATTACCATTTTTTCAGCTGATCTTAAGCCTGTGTTCTGGTTTTGTTAATTTAAATTCAAATTTAAGTTTTGTCATTATTCAAATTTAACACTATGTTTACGGACATTTGTACGCTTGATTCTATTGATCTTCAAAAAATTCATGTTCGTTCATTCAGATTTTAGAAATTAGAGGTTTAAATATAAATAATTGAGATACTGCTGTGACGCATTATAAAATTCAATGTGCGTCAAATTGACGCGTTCCGTAAACCTAGTGTTAAAATACAGTTTCGTCGTTATTCGAATTCAACAATTATTACGTACCTACGCGTGGACTTGTACAAGTGTCATTTACAAGTTCTACACGTTTCTTACAAATTTTGAACAACCGTGGTTACTGTCTCGACGGTGGGTGAGAATCTAATACGTGCTGTCTGGGTTTACCGAATATACAGTAAGGTAGTGGTGGGGAAGTACAGAGACATTTACCCCAACTACCTGCTGCAAGGGTGTAGACGTAGGTTTGCAGCTTGTAAGTACATAACGGGACATTTCTAAAAATCTCCGGTTTGTCAGATTTGGCGACCACTTTCACAAAGATTCCGAAAGTTCCCAGCGATGAGTCTATCGGCAATCAAACAGTTAAGGGAACTTTCGCTTCTGAGAACCTTCACGTCTCAACGTCAGTTCAATTGAAATTTAAATGAAAAGATTACCAGTTAAAATGATGCTCAAAACTACAGTTTTGTCAGACGAATTGATATTCGAATGTAAATCGTGTCAGCTAAATTTAAATCTGAGTTCTAATTGTATGAGTTGAACCATCATTGAATATTCGTTATACAAACAATAATTTATTGCGAATAAAATATCTTTTCTCTTCAACGTCATTCGTCATTGAAAAGGTGCGACAGTAGGACGAGGAATGCACACAGAATGCAGTTAATTTTACACACGTTTAATTGCAATATCATATCATATTTACAGTGTAACATGGAACATTGTAATTACAAAAATATTATTACTAGACTGCGGATGTTCACGCCGGTTCGCGCTCCTAATTTACAAACACAGGAATTAAATAGAAACTCGTTTCCCCGTCTAGTTCTTTTTCATCGCCGCGAAAAGCACAATAGAAACATGATCAAACTCGTAGCCATTCTGTTTTTTCTTCTACTTTTCAATCGCGCGATATCCGCAGTTCGATTATTATCATGCGTCGATCATTCTCAGCGACTGTTTTCTCCTTGCTCGATTCCGTCGCCCTTAAATAAAAAAAGATCGTTTCCAATTCGCGCTCTCATTGGAAATCCTAGCGAAACGGAAGCTCACGTTGGTATATACCAGGTCTCTACTATGGCGTCGCGGACGTATATCGATCGCGTCTCGCGCTAAATATCGTGGAAAAGGACGCGAAAATTCACTATGTACATCCGACCTTTTTAGCTGCGAGCTCGAGACACCGTTCACCAAAACGTAACGCGTTCGTTCTTGCGTTCGATTCGCGGACCATATCGCGTCGCTCATGCTAGCTCCTTCCCCCTCATTCGACCCTGTTCTCGCTGGAACGAACATCATGACCTCGTAAACGACGGACGTCAACCGTCTCTCGAAATCAATTCGCCCTCCAGGCCGGTTCTACATATTTTCAAGATGCCAAAAACCCTCTGGAGATCCTCTATAACCTAAACACCTGCCTATGTCTTATCCTCTAAGTACGCTTAATCAGACACGTTCAAGTTGAACAGCTCTTACGAGGATTGAAGAAAGTCATTAAACTTCTTATTCAAATTAACAGAGGCTCATCAAGATTTCTACAAGCTCTAGACCCTTATATTCCTCGAGTCCCCTTCCATCATCTATTTCTGAAAGTACCCAATAAATCAGCCCTACCAGTTAGTATAATTACCAGCTCATTCAGCAGTAGCCTTTAAAGAGTCACTAGATCCGTTCCAACGAGAACCGTCTCAACAATTTTGCAACGAGTGATTCCCTGTCCCACTAAAGACGCTGTTTGTCATCGATGAATCAGACGTCGACGATCTACCGGGTGTCCAGGATCCCCGTCAGCCAGCTCAGTCATGATCATCGCCTGAATAGAGGTGTCTCGATGGATGAGAATGCTTTTTCCTGTTAGAATTGGCATCGAGAGCACCTGGCGTCCGCGTTCTAGGCAGGTCTACCTCCTCTACTTCCGGGAGATCTGACCAGGACGCCGAGGAGCTATCCTGCGCCTGGGCGCCAGCAACCCGCTCAGTCTCCGCGTCTCCTCGTGTCTCGTGCTAGCAGCGGTGCTGGTCTCGGCAGATGTCGCCTCGGTTGGCTCCGTTTCGCTGCTGGAGGTCTGCGGCTCCTCGGATACCTCTTCCTGGCTGGTTTGGGGAACAGGCGCTTCCGTCACTTTGCGACGGGGCAGCAGTGGAGACCTCCTCGTCGCTAGGGACACTGGTGACCTGGTCGTCGTCTTGGGATGCACTTGCAATCGGTTCCGATTGCGGAGCTTGTTCAGGGGATTCACCGTGGTGGACTTGGCAGGAGGTGGGCTGGTCTCAGCGGGCGCCTAAGCAGCACAGTGATTTGTTGGTTAGATTGTTTACGAGAAATCTGTTTCAGAGGGTTAAGATATAATTTATTTAGGGAAAGCTGTAGGAATTAGATTGAAAGAAATAAGAGAGGAGAATACTTTTGAATTTAACACGTTGACTGCTACGGTGGTCACCGGTGACCGGAGCTTCCACGTTGCTCGATAACAATAACAATAAGAAAATTGATGTCAAATAAAAATATTTGGTGACACAAGTAGCTGAATAACAACGTAATAAGAGTACTGTGGTACTAAATCGTTAATAATTATTTTTGTTACCATTTGCCTTTGTTATGAAAGAATAAGTATTACGATACAAAATGCTCGAAACTCTCATGGCAGTCAACGTGCTAACAGTACGTGTTAACTCAGTATTACTGAGTAGGTAGATTAACTGGTTTTGTATTGTTTTATATGAATTATAAGAGCATATTTTTTGAAATTCTGTTTCACTTATATTTTCGTTTTGGTGTTTAATTTTAGTCAATAATTTCTTAGAAATTTTTTTATGTTGTTTACATTACTGCGAAAGAAAATAACAATCAATTGGTCAGTTTGAGCCTGGTTTGTCATTTCTAGTATTAAATTCTAGCGAGATAATCGAATATCCAAGCATTACATAGACGAGAATTCTGTAATTGATCATTTCGACTATCTGATATTTCTAAAAGTAAATTCTAGTGGAATAATTGGGTACTTAGAAACTAGGTGAAGAAAAAATCTGTAATTGGTTACTTTGAACTATCTGATATTTCTAGTGTCACACTTCAATGGAATAATTGAATGTCTAGGAGCTAGGTAACGAAGAAATCCGTAATTGGCCATACTAACCTACATCTCTGATACTTCTAGTGTTATATTCTAGTGAAATAATCGATCGTCTAGGAACTGAATTTGAAGTACGAAACCGATTGTTGGTCGATAGTGTTGCAATACGGAACAGGAGGTTTCTCGAAGATTTCGGACAAGTATTTTTCTTTGTTCCCGTGAATTGATATTCGAAATGGAAATTATTCATGCGAGTACTCGCGGGATCGATTCTTCGAGCATGTCTCGAAAAGTAGTCGCGCGAAGTGTGTCGGCCCGTGACATTTTGCGAAAGGCCATTCGGTGAAAGTGAATCTCGCGGGGAACTTCGGCGAACGAGTCGCCACCCGGGATCGTGCTCTCGATTTGTGGAATTGCAGGCATTCCACGGTCCTTGGAGAAGATATCACGAGCTCGTAAAATCAGCCACCTGAGCGTTAGTGTCCCTGATCAGTCGAGATCTAATTGGATCGTTTATTGAATCCGAGACAATGTCTTATTTCAAAGAAAGTAATTTTTAAAGTGCAGTTCCAGTGAGTTAACTAAAATTCAAGGCCTAAGGATTAATCATTAAGAGAGTTTTAAAATCACGAACGAATGATTTCATAATTTCCTGCTTTTCCAGCATTATATTCACGCTTTAACAACCGGTACCTATTTAATGGCTTTTTGAAACCAGCAAGTTGCAGCTAACGATTTCTTAATCGAGCCTTCAGTAGAAATGGCAATTATGATCGTAAAACAACGTTACTTCTCTTTAAATTCGCACCACGTAAGAGTTTCTTTTACGATTATTACTTAAAAAAAGTTGGAGAAATCTGTTAACCTTTGAAGGATTGACATTTTTCATAAAAATATTAATGAATACTAATATTTATGAATAGTGCTGGTTTTTCCTTCCTTTTCGTCGTTTTATTTCTTATTGTAAAAATAGGTGAATAAATGATTCGTAAATAATTGTATGTACATAAAAAGATATAAATAATCAATATTATACTAATACGAAAGGATTTCGTTCTCTAAAGGTTAACAGGGTAATTCTTTGGCATACGAAGTGTTAGATGAAAGTTGAATATATAATTTAACTTCTAAGAACAAAAGAAGGTTCTAGTACTTAAGAAAATCCTTAAATTAATACTATAAACTTCAAACTCTCAAAAATCCTCAGACTTTAATCCTTCAAATTTCTAATACTAAAACACTCTCAATCTTTAACCCTTCAAATGGTGATTCCTCAAACATCTTCAGCTCCAACTCAAAACATTAAAAAATCCTTAAATTAATACCATAAACTTGAAACACTTAAAATTGCTCAGACTTTAAATCTTTAAATTTCTAATACTAAAAGACTCTCAGTCTTAAATCCTTCAAATGATGAATCCTCCAACATCTTCAGCTCCAACTCAAAACATCAAAAAATCCTTAAATTAATACCATAAACTTGAAACACTTAAAATTGCTCAGACTTTAAATCTTTAAATTTCTAATACTAAAAGACTCTCAGTCTTAAATCCTTCAAATGATGAATCCTCGAACATCTTCAGCCCCAACTCGAAACATCAATTCCAACCTATTTCCCAACACTTACTTCATGAGTCTCTTCCTCAGTTCCCTCGCCAGCCGGTTCCTCAATGGACGCCTCCTCAGAGGTGTCCGCAGGCACAGCTGGCGCAGCGGTGCTCGTAGTAGTCGGCTGGCCCGGTTTCTGTCTCAAGTTCACCCTAACGCCTCCAGGCTTGATGACCGGTGGTCTAGCTCCTGGTGCCGGAAGTCTCGATCGAACCGTAGACTTCGGCGCAGCCGTGACTGCTTCTTGAGTCGTCTCTTTAGCAGCCTCTTTAGAGTCTTGGCTCTCTTCGCTGGCGCTTGGTGTCGCGGTAGTTGGTCTTCCTCGGCGTCTGTTGATGTTCAGCTTGTTGAAGCTTGGTCTGGATACTCCGCCAGACGGCGTAGTCGCTCCTCCGCCATTGGATGGCGAGGAAGTGGTGGACTGGGCGGTTGTCCTCGTGTTGCCAGTGCCACGAAATCTGCCTCTGCCGCTGGTAGACGATGGTTTTTCAGCGTGGACTGAACTGGAGCTTTCTTTCTGCACTGCGTCTTCTTCCACGGGCTTGTGACCTGGTCTTGACCTCTTGAACCCGCCGTTCGAATTGTTACCACCGAAACGAGCTCGGGTACGCGGGGTTTGCTCTGGTGTCTCTGTGGTCGTTGTGCTACCACCTCCGTTGTTGGATTTGAACCTGCAATTGATTAGAGGCAATTTGCAATACCAGCCGTAGTGTAAACTTCTTTAGGGTATTTATAGTAAAATTGAAAATTGGGATTAGATTGTAGAGTTCGATGAAAATGAATAAAAAATTTTCACTCATTTGTTTGATAGATAAGTTATATAGATAAGATAGATAAGAATAGTTTTGTAGACAAGCTCTGGAAAACTATTAGAGAAATATTGCTTAAGATCCTAGGTTTAACATTTTCTAGACTTTCTAGAGTTTATACTCTTTTAGTATGCAACAGTTTGATATATAATTCGATTTTCTATGAAAAATCTTCATTTTGTTAACGTTCGAAAGTCTCATCTACAAAAGTTTGAAACCTTACCTGTTTCTAGAAGTTGCTGGTCCACTCAATCCGGGTCTCCTAAATTTCCCTCTTCCAGCTGCCTGAGTGGTAGTAGTCGGTGCTTCGGTGGTGGTGGTAGTGGTCGTAGTCGTCGTAGTAGTTGTTGTAGTAGTAGTAGTCGTTGGTTCAGGTGTAGTGGTCGCCGTGGTGAGGTCAATGGTAACTGTAGTACCTGAAGAAGCTTCTGTGGTAGCTGCCATGTCAGTGGTTGTTTGATCATCAGCTAGAGTAGTGCCTTCAGAAGAAGCAGCTTCGCTGCTGGAAGCTTCCACGAGATTGTTCTGGCCCTGTTGAACGAATGCGTACAGGTCCAGAGCTACTTTGTCCATGGCTGAAGGATACTCTGTCGTTGGATTGTCGGTGGCTGAAGAGACAGTGCTCGGAGAGATTGACGAGGAATCTTGTTCTTCAGAGTCCTGTCTTTCTAGAGAAGCTAGCTTTTCTTTGCTCTTTTCCGTTGAGGATGAAGAATCTTCCTTACTATCGGTCTCTTCGGCTGATCTGGAGGATTGGATGGGCTTCGATGCATCTTCATCTTCCACCTGAAAAGTGAAGAAAGTTCATTAGTAGAAGAATAATGAAGGAATAAAGAAGAAACGTTTAATAGACAGTTCAAAAGGATTCAACAATTTTAGAATTCAATTTTAATCTTGTACTCATGATTTAAACATTTTGAGAAGCAATATCTTATTCTCAATCTTATATTTATTAACTAAAATTTCAAAAATTATTTTATTCTCAATGCTCACTGAATAAAATAAACTATCCACTAATTATTATTCGAAACAATATTCTAGTTAATATTAATAAATAGTCACCTCGGTCGATGGTGTGCTCGTCAGTGGTCTCCTTCTAGTCGTAGGAGCTGGCGAATCATCAATGATCTCTTCTACTGGGGCAGGTTCTTGAATTTTCTGAGGTCTGCTTCGTCCTCTACTACTCGTTTTATCTTCGCTCTCTTCATGTGGCGTTACTCCTAGGAATCTGACTGGACCTTTTGGTAACACTTGAGGGAACTCAGGACCTTCCTGATGAGTCCTGAAGCTGCTAGAGTCCACTAGGTCTAAACTAGGTCTGGGACGGTTTCCACGAGTTCTGGATGGCTCTGTGGTCCCTGTGTTGTGGTTCGACCTTGACCTGTTTGTTCAACAGCCATTTAACTTAAATAGATAAGGTTACACAAGGGGTTAATAACATTTTTCTACGGTTTTTTGGAAAGATACATACGGTTAGGCAAAGAGTTAATACCATTTTTCTATATTTCGATGAGGTGCATGGAGTTAGGCGTAGAGTTAATATCATATTTCTGTTTTCCAAAAAGATTCATAGGTGTTAGTTATGTACCAGTTACGAGTTAGATCAAAAAAGTTATACAGTGATAAAATGAAATTAACGTATATTTACCATTGAAAAGCAAGTTTGTAATGAAGTGATTTTTTCTATTTAACTTCTTTCCTTTTGATTTCTCATCATAGTTTATCAGTAGATAAAGATTTATCAGTAGAAGTGAAAGAAACATAAGAAATTAAGTATGATCACTCAATGAAAAACCTAATTTAGATGTAAATGCATCTTCAATCAGAAACAGAACTGAACCAACACAGGAGATAAGAAGCTAATTGCAACCACTGAATTACTAACTTCTCTTCAATAACATATATAGATATATTCTTTACTTTCTCTCTAACGCTGGACAAGATTAGGATCTGAATTAGTTGTAAGAATTTAAAAATCAAGTGAAAAACTATCTCCACTACTGAAAGTAACAGATAAAATTGGGTACGTACTTCTACAGCCACAAATCACCAGACACTTAAATCTTTAGATGGCAAATACAAATGGATCAATCTAATGAAATCTTGTAATGATTATTATTAGATACAATCTACTAAAGTCTTGTAACGATTATTGTTAGATAAAAAATAAAAATGAATCGATCTAACGAAATCTTGTGATGATTATATTATTAGACACAATCTACTGAAATTTTATGACGATTATTATTAGATACAAAACAGAAATGAATCGATCTAATGAAGTCTTGTAATGACCATTATTAGACAAAATCTACTGAAATCTCGTAATGATAATTATTATTACACAAAAGGTACAAATTAATGAACCTAATGAAAACTTGATAACAGAGTTCAATAGCAGCGCAGCTAGGAGATCACTTGATGGCTAGCCTGAAGCTATCAGTTTCTCTCATCCGATTTCCTATTAATTTTATCCCCTAATTCCAAACATTTTCGATTACTAATTTACTATTCTTCAATACAGTCACACGTAACCGATCAGAACTACAAAACTGAATCAGAAAGGCACTGTTTGCAGTGTGCCATTTCGCTAGACATCAAGTCACCTCTCTACAGTATCATGTTAGAGGTTTGAATGATAAAGTTCTCCGTAATATTAAAAGACGAAATGAATTATATACCTGGGCGGGAACCTGGTGTTGGCTGGTAGCCTTTCTTCGGACACGTCCTCAGCGTCGGACAATTGTCTTCCCCTGTTACCATTTCTGTTGGGTATCACCTCGTTGCTGGCTGGCTCGACAGTGCTCCGTTCCACGCTACTGTACTTGTTCCTGTTGCTGGACGATCCGCCGCGCCTAGGCGCGGACGTCGTTCTAGAAGGAACGTCGTAAGAATTGGTGACGGAAGAGTCCGCCGAACCCGCCTTATTCTCATCCTCCTCGTCATAGTAATAATATACGTACTCGTATTCGTAGTCCTTGCCGTTCGGCCCTTTCTTTACCTGCAATTTCATCGTGGAATGGACCAATTATAGTAATCAGGGCACGTCTAGTCGATTTCAACGATTTTCAAACCGTCGCACTTGAAAGTGTTTTATTAGAAATATTCGATGTTTCCCGGTACACGTGACATTTTTTAGAACTTTGACGACGATTTTTATGTATATTAAGGAACGAAGCTGCTTTATCGAAACGCATCGATGCATTATATAAAGGTTTATATTAAGACCTATAATATCGTGTCAGACTCGTGATAAAGATTTTACACTGAATTCGAGAAATCTAAGTGTTATTTATTTTTCTTGAATATATGTTAAACATTACTTTTGTAGTATCAGTTGTTAAGCTTTGGAATAAATGTAGGCATAGAAGAAGTATCAAACTTGTTTCTTTTCCTAATGAATTGTTAATGATAAAGTAGTTGTATAGATTATATATAGTTAACACATTGCGTACCGGAAACGAGAAATCTCGTTTTCATTTGAACCTATTTTTGTAATTTAGCGAACTACCATACCATTTAAAGAAATATCAAATTTTATTAGAATTGATTACTTGTTTAATACTTATGAGATAAGATATTTGAATATGTTTCATATAGTGATACTTCACGAACTTATAAGTTGATCTCATTGAGAAATCGGCCAGTTTTCTAAGAATTAACCGGTATGCAATGTGTTAAGAAGTAATCCATAGGTCAAGGGGTTAAATATCAAAATTTCTAATTCTGATGTATCAAATCAAGTGGCGATTGAGTGAGTCTAGTGTAAAGAGTTAAATGTTATTATTCGCAACTTGTTAAGGTTTACAGTCTGAATAATTTCACTTGTAGGCGTTTGAATTTAGTCTCCGGAAATGTTTTCTTTGGTTTGTCTCAGTTTAGCTTGGTTTGTTTTGATTCACTTTAGTTCATTGTAGTTTGCTGTTACTGTGAGTCACTCTGGTTTACTGTCGTTAATATGGTTTGAGATGCTTTGTTATAATTTGATTTACTCTGTTTTATTTTATTTTATTCTGATTGATTTCAGTTTACAGTAGCTTACTTTGATTTCGTGCTAAATGCTTAGAAAAATACTTAGCTACTAGAGGTCATATGCTTCGGTAAATAGCAAACTGACCTTCTTTGATACTTTTCAATTTGATTCTAGACACTCTTAAACTTTTTGTTAAGTTTGGATTGGATTCGAGTTGTTGTTAAGAATATTTTCGTGAATATCTCGAAAATTAAATTCGACTTTCAATATATGTACAAGTGAAATTACTCAGCATCTTGATCCTAACTATACGTTTGGAAATGCTGACTCTCTTTATTGTTATAGTTTTTATTATTATACCTGGATACGCGAGTTACTGCCGGCCGGAACTAAACTGACGTCGCTAAAGTCGCCGAAGTTTCTGTCGCGGAATGACGTCTCTTTTCCGTCGTCGCGGATTATGTTCACCGGGACGAAGTCGAATCCGCGAGCCTCTCGAGGTGTCGTCAGCATCGGCATCATCGTCGTAGGGTACTCATCACTGCGGAAATAATATTAATTTCCTCATTCATCAAAATTTCAAATAAACACCAGTAAACGATGGTGTCGTTATTAGACTGCCGAATTTTTGCATTACAAAATTGTTTTTATAACATCATCAGTCAACAGTTTTATAATTGTAAGGTTGTAAAGAAGATTATTGTAAAGAAGACTTTCCATGATAGTATTGTTCTTCTAATTATATTGTTAGAAATTTAAATTTTTAAGTAAGTATTTCTAAGTAATTGACAAAATGAAGTGAACAAGTTTGAAAAATTTTCCAAAGACCAAGAATGTTTCGAATTGCAAATAATGAATTTCTTAATTTAAAGAGTTATTAGAATGAAATGTGAACAATAATTTATAGTGTTTTTCTCAAATTTTCTAGTAAATGAGATTAAATCTACTGAATTCAAAAGTCTTCTAATAACTTAAATTAAATCTAGTAAATTGAAAAATCTTCTAACAAATTAAACTACATCTAGTAAATCCAAAAGTTTTCTAACATCTTAAATTAAATCTGGTAAATTCTAAAACTTCCTAATTCTACTTGTATTCGCATCGAGTATTATTAGATTAAACACGCGTTTATAACAAACACGATTTCCGTTTCCTTTTAGCAATTTCGTAACGGTAAAACGGTATTAATTTTCTTCATTTCTCTCACCTGACACGAACTCCAGGGATCACTGAATCCCTTTGGCCCTCCGATCGCGTCCTTTGCCCATCCGTCCTCCGAACCCCATCTTCCTGAAGAACGCCTGTATCACTGAAATTCTCGAGCTCCACTCGCACTTGTCTCTTCGTGTTTGCTTTCTCATTCTCGCCGAAATCGAATCGGCGGACCGGATCCAGATTCACCGGCTTCTTATCGTAGCTCTCCAGCCACGGTATCACTTTCTTCGCGTGTTTGCTGTCCTTCGAGACCGTTTTCCTCTCCACGTCGACCACATCATCATCTTCATCCTCGAATTCCGTCCGCCTTGCTATGCTTTCAGGCAGCTTGTGAGACGTGACGAATTCTAGGGTGAGAAGGTTTCCTTTATTAATATTGGTAAATGTTAAAAATAACTTAAATTAATAAAAAAATAATAAAAATAGCAGAAAATAATAGAAAATAAAAAAGTAGTGGACGATAACAGAAAATAGTAGAAGATAATGAAAGGCAATAGAAAATGATTAAAAATAATGAAAAAATCTTTTGTTACTACTTTATCTACTGGTGAGCTATTAATAAATTTTTTAATGATTTCTGATCTTATAATAACATGATGTTACATTACTGTACTCGTGGCGACATATTCAAATATCTATTGCTCAATAAATAAATGACGATTATAAATCTTCAATAAATAATAAATTCCAATAATAATAGTTTAACAATGATAAATGTCGTTCAATTCTTTCCCAAATGAAATATTATTTTTCAACAAAGAAGGGACTCTATTTTCATAATAAATTACTGACGATAAAGTTCTAACAAGGGCTATTGCAAAAGAAATCATAGGGTAAAAGGTTAAAAAGAGGGTTTAGTAATTTTCTTTGAACAATGTTCCTCAAATAGTGATCAAATTCTATTACTCAATATCATTATAGTAATTGCTATTATTAATGAAACTTTGAATAATAAGTCTCTAGGCAATGATTGCTATTCTCCAATAAATGTTGACCAACCATCAGTGAATAACGTGTTAGTATATTCTATTAAGCAAATAATATCGTGGAAAAAGGTTTGAAGAATGTTTTCAGTAACTGTACCTTCGATTTTCACTGGTTTGGTGTTTTCAGCCGAGTCTTCGGTTAACACGCTCGCGAGGACGCAACAGAGCCTTGAACAGAAGAAAAAGTATTGGGAAATTATTGCTTACTGGCTTTTCTTTTTAAGAGGAAAAGTGGATTCAGAGTTGCATGTGATCGTTTGGATTAGTAATTGATGTCTGCAGGTTTTACTCTGGAAAAGGTAGATCTTGAAAGTATTTTTCAGTTAGACACTTAACGCATTGCGTACTTGCTAATTTTCAGAAAACTGAATTGCGCGGATGGCGATTTTCAGTGAAATCAACTTATATTATTACATATAGAAAAACTTAAATACCATATTGTTATGTAACATATTTTAAATGGATAACCAGTTCGAATCGTATTTAATATTTCTTAAAATACTGTGCTAATTAACAAAGTTACACAGCTAAGTGCCTTTATATAAAAACGAGATTTCTCGTTGCCAGTATTCAATACGTTAATATAATGTTTGCGGTAAGAAGTTATTAAAAAATTTCTCTCGATAATGAAATTCTTTCGTATACAGATGCATGCAGGTGCATAAGATTTGTTTTAGAAAGTATCAATAAGTATTAATTATATATTTAAGCATAGAAGTATAATAACTCTATATCATATATATCATTACTAAAACATAAACGAAGACATAAACTATCTTTAATTTCAGTGATCGATCATTATAGTGTAATTGAAATGTACATCGTGTTTCGACGTTGCGTAATGGAAATATGTGATCAATTTACGACCGTTGTAATTAACATGTTAACACGTTGACCGTTATGGCGGTCACTAATGACGCTTCTGAATTGATTAAGAACAATTATAGTATTGACCAGTTATTTTGAAAGTAGTGCAAGTCAATTTTTTCTTCTTTCGAGATATGCGAAGGTTTTCATTCGATTCAAAAGTATAAATAAAGTATATTAAATTCGTCAATGTTTCTATGAATTTTTTTACAATGAAGAATATTTAAATTGTTTTTTACAATAAATATTAAATATTTCAATTAACTTACTTTTACGTGAATTTAACTAAAATAATGCAAACTTTCTAGGTCATCAATGGACTGACACAACTTTCATAATTACTGAATTGTGAAAATCATGAAATTTCGATGATCTCGGTTAAATTTCACTTGAAACATAATTGTGTTTTATTCTGATTTTATTCATAAGTGAGAAATAAAATAGTGTTTTTCATTTTTAAAGTTAAAAACATTTACTTATAGTTAAACTGTTCAATGATAAGTTTATTATTATTACGAACGTAACGTTAAACACTGCTTCTCATTTAGGCCGGTTACGTGGAATTCATATTGCATTCCATTCCGTCACATTACGCTTTTACTGATAAAATTCTTCGTTACACTCTTCTATTATAACTGCTTAATTAGTCTGCGAAAAATGGACTTACACCAGTTTCATAACGAATCGTTAAGCAGTTTCATTCACTGGCGAATTACAAATTCATCAGAACATATGGATATTTTAAACTACTAAGTGTGAATTGTTTAAAAAGAGAAAGTTCACTTTAAATTATTTGTATATCTCGTGATTTCTCACCTTTTTACAAAAGAGAACTTACACCACTTTAAAAATAAATGGTCCGTGTATAAGATGATCGACGTCGAACAAAAACGTTTAATAACGTAAGTCGATGATAGTGTAATGCAAGGATTGCGACGACAAATGAGCCACCTTTTTTTAAAATACCATAAGTTCATTCTTTTCAACATTGAGGTAGTTGGTAATTAGATAGCTTATCTGAACCAGAAAATTCCCTATTTAAAAAATAAGGTACAAATACTAATATTTGGACACAAATATTTGAACCGTTTTTTAAAATGGCACAAGTCCATTTCTTCAAACATTGAGATATTTAAGGGTTTGCGTTTGAGTTAACTTAAAAATATTGTCAAACGTCAATTAGTTCTGGTAACGTTTATGAAACGTTAAATTCTATTATGCAATAATAAGTAATAGAACGGCTAAAAAAAGTACACGATTTTTCAGCTACAAACGGACTTACTCCATTTCCAAAGAAACTATTTTCACGATAACCTTCCGCAGCTAAACTTCCTTTGATCAATTTATAAGGATATCGTACGTAATTAATTCTATGATTATAAATATAAAAAGAGAATATCCATATCTCACTAAAACCACCATTAACTAATTTTACTCCAAAATTAGACTTATACCATTTAAAAAAACGGCTCAAATAGCTAATATAATCGTTGCTATTTATCTTTGCCAGCAGAAAATCTGCGTTATCGAAAACGCTCAAGATTTTCGTGGCAGTTAACGTGTTAAGCGTTAAATACGAGAATTATTCACAAGTGTAGACGCAGTGTAACGTTGGCGAGGCAACGTTCGCCACGGTGAAAGTTTGCGTCAGGCCAAGACCAGCTGGAAGCTGCAACCGACTCGGCCTGTTCCCAACGGGCTGCCACTCGGTTCTTTAAGACCACTTTAATCATTCGATTGGCCTGCATTAAAGTTGAACAACAAAACGCTCGAAAAGTTTCGAGTTTCCCGTTCCAGTCGGAACAGGTGCGTTTGCGGGAGTAACACGAAAAAAACCGGAGAACTCGGACTGTCAAAAGGTGAACTTGTAATTCCGACAGGATTCGAATAAATTACGATTTTGTAATTGCAGTTATAAGAAATATGAATATTATAATATTTATGATTGTGACGAGCGACTTTGCGCACATTAGTATGCATGAGTTGATCAACAGTACAATTGGCCAGTTGAACCGACAGTTTTCATTGACGAAAGTTTCATAAATAATTGGAGGTACTTGGAATTTATAGGATTTTCAGTTATGTTTTACATGAACTTTATTATATTAGTATGTAATTAATGTAGTTCTTATTCGATTTGCTTTAATGATTAATGTTTAATACGAATATTCTTGTTTCCTGAATATTTCTTAGATGACATAAAGGAAGAATTAAAAATTGTGGTTTATATATTTCATGAAAACTTCTATTGGTATTGTATCAGTTCGTATTGAATTAAGTTCAACTACTGTTTCTCTTTTCCTTCAAATTAAGAGAAAATTAAATTAGTACTAAGTAAACTTCACAAGAATTTCCATTGAAGCTCTATCAATTCTTATTTAACTTCTTCACATTTCTATTTCTAATTTTGAATTTCACTCATGTCGAATGATAAAAGTAAATAACACTAATCATAACAATAATAATATAAATGCATAATAAAACAAAAACAAAGTAAAATACTGACATCGAAGTATTACGTTACAAATTTTCCAAAACGACATTCAAACAATTAGTATTTCAACTATAAATATTTCTCAAATGGGTTTAATCAAAATTTCTCTTCATTAGCCAGTTAATTTACCACAATTCCCACGAAATTGTTACACTGCCATTAACAATTTAACGCGTTTCACATTTATAACGAGTACACGTTGCGCGTGGAACGGGAGCAATGGCGGCGAGTCCCGGAGACGTAAAGAGCAATTTTCGTGGCGTTGAAATAATTTGATCGAAGGAAAAAGTCAAGGCCGTCTAGTAGTCTGCCTCGGGACACACGAGAGCGACCTCGTCCTCGTTCTCTTCAAGGTTGTTCGACCGGGTTCGCCAACGACCCGAAATTTGGTGAAAATCGGTAGCGTTGCACTTAAAACGTTCCTCCGAGCTGGTCGCTCCTCGATGACTCAGTCCAACGAGCAGATCGATCGATCCGTTTCAAGTTTTTCACGAAATCACCCTTGTACTACAAGATATTTATTGAACCACCGTATTTTAAAATTTATAAAATACTATATTACTAGAATAATAAAATATGAACCATTTTTTTTAAGTGGTACAAGTCCATGTTTGGTGAAAAATGAGTTAATGGTAGTTTTAGTGGAATATAGATATTCTGTTTTTATATTTATAATCATAAAATTAATGATGTACGGTATTCTTACAGGTTGATCAAAAGAAGTTTGATTGTCAAATGTTATGTCAATAATGTTATTGTCAATAGTTTCTTTGATAGTGGAGTAAGTCCATTTATAGCTGGAAAATCATTTATTTTCTTTGGTAGTTTTTTTAATTATTATTGTATAATAGAATTTGATAAGTTTATGATTTCATAAATTTTACTCGAATTGGTTAACGTTTGACAATACTTTTAAGTTGATTCAAACGGAAACCCTTAAATGTCTCAGTGTATGAAGAAATGGACTTATACCGATTAAAAAAGAAAAACAGCTCAAATCTTTATGTGTCTAAATATTAGTATTTGTACCTTATTTTTCAAATAAGGAAATTTCTGGTTGAGATAAACTACTTTGCTCTAGTTTTTGTGAAATGATTGAAAATGGAAATCGTATGAAAATTCACGATGTGTTTTCATTATTAACCATTTTAGTTAAAAATTTGGGAAGTCTATTAATAATTGTTTATTAAATAAAGTGTTAATTATCTCTTATATGTTGTCTATATTTTCTTTCGCTTCTGAATAATAATAGATTCTCGATAATAATTTAATTTTCCGTACGGAATTTATGAATATAAGAAAATGGAATTTCAATTTGCTAGAATGATAATCTCTATCCAAATTAGTAAATAACAACCAATTTTTAATTAAAATTCGTCTCTAATCGTCTCTAATTTGCTATAAATAATTTTCTACTTGCTTTTACAAGTAATCTTGTTAGAAATAATTGAAAACGCAGTATTTGTGCTTTATACTTCGTGTTCTACATCAAACTCCAACCAAGCGATAGTTCCTCTGATTTGCAACTACTGTTTGTAAAGGAAAACTGATTTTTCCATTTTTCTCAATGATTTTGAATAAATATTATTTACGTGATTTTCAACCAATATTGAAATACGATTGGTATTTATTCCTTCTCCCTTATCTCGTAACATGTTTCTCTTTGAATGTTGTAAATATCGTTCCCACTTTTCTTTTCTGATTCTTTCCTCGAATTTTACTAAATTAGATCAATTGGTTCGGTATTCTTCGCTTAACTACAGTACTTTCGATCAACATTAAAAGAGCTAATCATATTAACCCTTTA